GTCAGTGCAGCTCTCCCACCACCCAACTCCCACCCACCCTTTAGGTTCAGCTTCAGTGTCACTTCTTTGACTAAGGTGGGTTGTCTGTCACAGGCTCTCGTGGTACTCCATAATATTCTTTCAAAGCACCCATCACACCTATAGCCATACACTCATTTGGGCATATGTTTGTTTACAATTTGGGTCTCTGCCCCTTGATAGGAGAAATTACCTGTACTTGGTTCACTACTAGCCCCTCACAGGTCAGCACTATCCTTGGCACAAGGAAATACTCAACAGACATCCATGAACAAACTTAGGAACATTAAGGGTATTTCCAAGTACCCTTTCCAAATACTGATTGAATGAACAGTCCCTCCCTTTACAGATGAGGAAGAATCTAAAGCCAGAGTTTAAATCTCTAAACCAAAGCAGAATTAAAGTCTAGTTAGGCAGCACCTATGTGTTATAATTCTGGACTCTCATTCTGCTATGCTACCTGTCTTTAAGTTGCTCCTTCAAAGTTGCTTAGCTGATCCCGGCTAATGCTGGAACAGCCTCTGGAACAACGGAGGATTCAACATTTATTAATTGTCTACCTTGTGCTGGGTGCTGAAGGAATGACGATGAGGCCTGCTTTCCTGGAACTTAAAGAGTCTAGTGGGAAACACAGCTGAGTATTTAATCTATGCTTAGAGGAGTACATGAAGGAAAGGACTAACTTATTTGACAATGCTTAACAAAACAAAGAAACCACCACAAAACCCTTTCCTCAACTAGTGGGTCCAGAGGGGTTTCTCTGAGATGAGATGATACTAGAGAGACCAGTAGGATAGGAGAAGTTAAATTAGCCTAAGGGGATAAGACAGAGGTTAGGCGTTAACTAGGCTAAAGGGGGGAGCTCTGGTAGCATAGTGGCTAAGGCACTTGACTGCTAACCAGAAGGCTGGCGGTTCAAACCCACCAGCCACTCCTCGGAAGGAAGGTTGGGCAATCCTACTTCCGTAGTGATACTGCCTCGGAAACCCAAGGAGGGGTCGCTATGAGTCAGGGCTGACTCGACGGCACATAACAACAACAACAACAACAGGCTAAAGGGGAGAGGAGCGTGTTCCAGACAGGCAGTGCATGCAGCATGTACAAGGGCTCTGTGGCAGGATCACAAGCGGTTGCGGTTAGCTAGGTGCACATCAGCGAAGATCATTTGCTGATGTTGCTATGTGCCGTTGAGTCGGACCGACTCACAGCGACCCCTCCTTGGGTTTCCGAAGCAGTATCACTCCGGAAGTAGATTGCCCCACCTTCCTTCCGAGGAGTGTCTGGTGGGTTTGAACCGCCAGCCTTCTGGTTAGCAGTCAAGTGCCTTAGGCACTACGCTACCAGAGCGAAGATCATAGCTGCAAGAAATTTAGAGACCATGTTTTTCTATTGGTGAGGCACTAAAGACGCGTCCGCAGCGCCACTGCCTACGGGCCGCGAAATGAAGGGCAGCCTAAGAGAAAGACAGGACATGGACAGCCATCGCCTTTACCGCGCCGTTCTCGCTGCTCTTCGTCAGGCAACCGGCGAGCGACGAGAAGATATAGCCGTGCCGGGTGTAGGTGCCGCTGCCTGGGCTGCCTTCCTCCAAGTTACACAGACGTTCGCCTAGAGGAGAAACGCCGCATCAGCCATAGGCCCCCAGAGGCTGATGGTCGTCCAGCCTTCTCACCTCTGTACCAGGATCCCGCAGACACGGCTCACTTACCGGGGATACAGTACCTCACGGGGGGCGCCATGATTGCCACTGTCCCAGAGCCCGGATGACGAGGCCGACTTCTTATTGGCCAAATCAAGGCGCAGTTCCTCTGTAACCTACGCGCCAATTGGTGTGCTATCACGTGACCCCTGAGCGTTCTTCCTCCCCGTCCCCACCCTCGAGCTGCAAACTTCATTTCCCAGATTGTCCAGAGACATGTCCAGGGGCGGAGTTCTGGGGCTCCTGCGCTTGCGCGTGCGCCTATGGTGCAGGATGGGTTGGCTGTGGGTCCGGGTCCCCCGGCTGGGGTTGCTGGCGGCGGGCCACGCTCGGTCGGATTGAGACGGGCCGGGCCGGGGTGCAGAATTGGAAAGGCTGGCAGTGAGCGGCGGCGGAGGCTGCGGGGTTCGATTTAGCTTAATTGGAGTGCCGGCAGGCGGCAGGTAAGAGCAAAGCCACGGCTCTTGCTCCCCCATCCTAGTCCGTTTTTCTAGGGTCGGGCCCTTTCCTGAAGCAGTCAGGAGAGTCTAGGTTCCTGCTCTCTCTTCGCCCCGCCCTACCGGGAGGTGCTCTTTTCTGGCCCGGGCAAGCGCACCCTCCGGGCAGCCGCAACGAGCGGAGCAGGAAGGTCAATCAATCAACTCGCCCATTTCACGGATTTGGAAACTCAGATCCCGAGACACCATTTTACTTGTTCTGAGCCTTCAAGATAGTTCATGGAAGAGCCACAGCAGAGTTTTTTTGACTTTCTGTTCATCTCACTTTGACCACGCCGTTCCCTTTGAGGACGGTTTCTGTAACTGCAGTTTCCGATCCTGTAGTCGGATTCTCTCTCCAGCGGAGTTCTGGTCGTCTGGGCCCATCCTTATCTTCTGGCATTGCTACTCTTGTTTTTCTTACCAGCATGTTAGTACGGAAGTGAAGTCATGTACAGGAATGAAATGCTGCCCTTTACTGATGTCTGAGATGTGCTGCTTGAGGTTGCAAACAGCCTGAGAGCAGCATCTTTGCCCAGTTGAGATTTTCCCAACACTTTCATGATCTCAGTTTCCTCTGCGTTCTGTGGCTTTGGAATCTATGCCTCCCTTTCTGTTCCCCATCTTCCAATCTTCTTTCCCTGTGGGGCAGATGGTGACTTAGCCAAGAGGGGATTCTCCCTTGAGTGCTGTGGCCTACAGTCTTCTCTATCTGGCAGGCAGATGTCACTGTGGCCTGTGGCTACTACTGAGGGATCAGTGCTTAGGGCTTCTTCTTGGGGTAAAGGTGCCCTGGTGACGCAGTGGTTAAAGTATTCAGCTACTAACCGAAAGTTAGGTTGGAATTTACCAGCCACTCTTGGGAGAAAGATGGTGCAATCTGCTTGCCTAAATCTACATCCTTGGAAACCCTGTGGGGCAGTTCTCTCCATTAGGGGCGTTGTGAGTCAGAATTGACTCAGTGGCAGTGGGTTTTGGGTAGTGAGGTTCACTTTGAAATTGCCTTCTTTCCATTTTTTTAGCTTCTGCCTTACCCTCATTTTTTTTTTTTTAATTGTGATTTGGGTGAAAATTTACAGGGCAAATTCACTTTCCATACAGCAGTTCACATACACTTTGTCTGATGACATTGACCACAATTTACCACAATGCAGCAGCTCCCCTCCCACTTCCTCCCGACAGTTACCTCTTGCCTGTGTCCATCCCTCCATGCCCTCCTGCCCCCTGAGCTGTCTCCCTGTGCCTTTCTTTCTCTCATGATTGTTCTCTCCAAGGAGTGTATCTACCTCAGGTAAATGTTCAATTCATATGCCTGTCTTTTGCTTGGCTCTTACCCTCATTTTTGAGAAGAAAATCCTGTATGTTTAGTTGTAGCACATGGACTATGTACATCTCTCTTCTCTGGCGTCTCTTGCACACTAGTTAAAAGTTGGAAGGCTCTGGCTTCATGCTTTGTTCACTCAAATTTCATCTGTAGTTCTGCAACTACAAGCTTTCTGTTTACGTATTTGGGTTTGTTTCAGGTCAGACTTGTTCTAATAACGGTTTCTGTTTCTCTCTTGGATGAAGAAGAATGATAGTGGCAGGTAATTATTCAATGTTACCCATTCGTAGGAGTATCCTAACTGGTATATATATATATAAGACAGATATACATCTGACCAGCCTTTCTACTTCTGCGTCCCTCGATCAGGTGTTCCAGGTCATTCATTTATTTGAATATTTATCGAGCATTTCTAAGGCACTCTGGTGGCACTGTGGTTAGAGCACTGGGCTGCTAACCAAAAAGTCGGTGGTTCAGGTCCACCAGCCGCTCTGTGGGAGAAAGATAAGGCAGTCTGCTGCTGTAAAGATTTACAAACATGGAAACCCTTACGAGTCAGAATTGACTCAATGGTATTGGGTTTGGTTTTCTATAAGCCAGGTATTGTGCTAAGCACTTTATAAACATTGCATTTATACTTTACTAAGTATGTATATGGAATCATAAAAGGTTAGAGCTGGAAAGGACCATAGCATTTAATCCTACCCCCTCATTGTATGGGAAACACTAGGAGATTGAGTCCCAGCAGGATTCAGTGATTTGCCCAAGATCACAAAACTACTTAGGGTCAGAGTTGAATTCTAAGTAGCCAGGGTATTAAGATGAGAGTTGGTAAATCTAGTTTTTGAGGCAGGCATTTCCTACAGAACTTAGAAAGTCAGGAAGTAGGTGAGAACAATATGGAAAGTGGAGAATCTGAGAGGGAAGATACTTTCTAAATTTTATTTATTTTGTTGAGAATACAGATAGCCCTTTGTCAGCTCTACTATACACCCGGGCATTCTTACTGCACATACAAATACGCATATAGAAACATTGTCTGCTAACCCTGTACATGGTCATGGGCACCTCCCCCCTGCCTAGACACACCTGATCGTTCAGCCTGTTCACCCATCTACCCGTAGATCAGTGCTTGCCTTCATGGACAGTGCAGTACTTCATGTGCAGAAGGGTTCACCTCTGTTGTCCGTACTTCCTGTGTACGTGTCTTCCTCTTCCTCGGTGCCACCGTGTTGGTCACTCACTTTTGGTATATTGCCTTTCCCTTCATCCAAATCAATACTTGTCTCTACCTATCTAGCAGTGTTCCCCTACCCTCCTCTCCTATCCTTGGTAACTGACAAAGAAAGCTTCCTTCCATATGAAAAACTTTCCTTGACTTTTTACAATAGTGAACTGATACAGTATTTGTCCTGTGATTGACTTAATGTCACTCAGCATAATGTCCTCCAAGTTCATCCATGTTATGTGGTGTTTCACAGATTCTACATTATTTAGCCCCCTAGAGCCAGGAAAGGGAGGGAGCAGGAGAGGCTGGGGACCTGTGGAATGGCAGGATGTCCAGGTAAAAAGGGGCAGGAGGCAAGGCTAGGCCCCAAGCCCTTAGAGCCAGGAAATGGGGGGAATGGCCAGGGACCACAAAGTGGCAGATTCCAGGTAGGAATTAGGTAAGGGGAGGGTGCAGAGGTTTCTGCCAACTAAGGGAGACAAACTTGTCTGTCAGTTTGTCATCCTGTGGGGCTTGTACATTGCTGTGAGGCTTGAGGCTGTGCCACTGGTGTTTCAGATGCCAGCAGAGTTGCACATGGTGCCCAGGTTTCAATGCAGCTTACAGACTAAGACAGACTAGGAAGAAAGAGGAGGCCATCCACTTCTCAAAAATTGGCCAGGGAAAACCTTATGAGTAGCAGAGAAACACTGTCTGATACATTACTGGGCAACTTTATGAATAGCTCGGAAACAGTGCCCGACACAGTGCGGGAAGACGAGCCCCTTAAGTCAGAAGGCACTCAAAATAGGCCTGGGAAAGAG